GTGTGTGTGTGTGTGTGTGTGTGTGGTATTTTTAGTGTAGGTCAATCATTTTGACTTGGTCATTTGAAAAGTAGCTCACAAGGCAAAAAAGTGTGGGCACCCCTGGCATAGAAGATGTTTCCAAAAATGCTTCCAGTGTGTTTTGCCAGTAAGGATACAGGTGGGAGTCTGTTCTAACATGTAGCTGGTCCAGTCGAACCCACCAGTGTGTCTGTGTGGTCCAGAGTGAACATGCTCCACACTGGCCTCAGCAGAGACGGACCCAGTTTATGGTTTGTTTCCTGTTTGTTGCAGACGGACTACGACATGGTGGACTACTTAAACGAGCTGAGGGAGGGCTGCCTGGAGGCCTACACTGGGATCATCCAAGGCCTGAAGGGCGACCAGGAGAATGTCCACCGTAAGAGTCGCATGACACAACATGCAGGTCACTTGAGTGCACCCCATCAGGTGATGTCGGTTCCTCCTCCTGTCTGCAGTGAATCAGGAGGATTTTACGACATCACAGAGAAAGTCGGGTCTTTTTCACCCAGGAAGCTTCGGGCTGCAACTGTCCATAAAAACAGCTTCCTGGTTTTGCAGGACCCAACAAACAAGCAAACCAGACAGCAGCAGAGGATTTGAAAACTGATTTGACTGAATTTGTGCAGGAGGGATTTGTTTTACAGTCAGGGAAAACATTATTTGAACCCCAGCTGATTTTGTAAGTTTGCCCACTAACAAAGAAATGATCAGTCTACAATGTCAATGGTAGGTTTATGTGAACAGTGAGAGACACAACAGTAACAAAAAAATCCAGAAAAATGCATTACAAAAAAAGTTGTACATTAATTTGCATTTTCATGAATGAAATAAGTATTTGATCCCTTTGCAAATGTGCTTTAGTACTTGGTGGCAAAACCTTTGTTGGCAATCACAGAGGTCAGACGTTTCTTGTAGTTGGCCACAAGGTTTGCACACATCTCGGGGGATTTTGACCCACTCCTCTTTGCAGATCCTCTCCAAGTCATTAATGTTTCGTGGCTGATGTTTGGCAACTCGAACCTTCAGCTCCCTCCACAGATTTTCTATGGGATTAAGGTCTGGAGACTGACTAGGCCACTCCATGACCTTAATATGCTTCTTCTTGAGCCAATCCTTTGTTGCCTTGGCCGTGTGTTTTGGATCATTGTCATGCTGGAATACCCAACCACGACCCTGACTGAGGGAAGGAGGCTCTCACCCAAGATTTGACGGTACATGGCCCCATCCATCCTCCCTTTGATGCGGTGCAATTGTCCTGTCCCCTTGGCAGAAAAACACCCCCAAAGCATAATGTTTCCACCTCCATATTTGACGGTGGGGACAAACACGGCGTGTTGAGTTAATGCCAAAGAGCTCGATTTTGGTCTCATCTGACCACAACACTTTCACAACATGACCCATGTGGCCCTTGGACCCAAAAAGAACAATTTTACTCTCATCAGTCCACAAAATGTTCCTCCATTTCTCTTTAGGCCAGTTGATGTGTTCTTTGGCAAATTGTAACCTCTTCTGCACGTGCCTTTTTTTTAACATGAGATCTTGCATGGAGCTCCAGACCGAGGGAGATTGGCAGTTAATTTATGTTTCTTCCATTTGCGAATAATCGCACCAACTGTTGTCACCTTCTCACCCAGCTGCTTGGCGATGGTCTTGTAGCCCATTCCAGCCTTGTGTAGGTCCACAATCTTGTCCCTGACATCCTTGGAAAGCTCTTTGGTCTTGGCCATGGTGAAGAGTTTGGAATCTGGATTGATTGATTGCTTCTGTGGACAGGTCTCTTTTATACAGGTAACGAGCTGAGAGGGCTCCCAATGTCAGCTCGTTACCTGTATAAAATACACCTGGGAGCCAGAGATCTTGCTGACTGATAGGGGATCAAATACTTATTTCATTCATGAAAATGTAAATTACTATAACTTTTTTTGTAATGCATTTTTCTGGATTTTTTTGTTATTGTGTCTCACTGTTCACAAAAACCTACCATTGAAATTGTAGACTGATCATTTCTTTGTTAGTGGGCAAACTTACAAAATCAGCTGGGGTTCAAATCATTTTTTTCCCTGACTGTAACCTGTTTCTTCCGTTAACCCTTTATTTCCTCATGTCCTCCTTCCCTCCTCGATTTGTTCCTCGTCTGATGCAGCTGACGTGATGTTGGTGCAGCCTCGGGTGGAGTTCATCCTGTCCTTCATCCATCACATAGCTGAGGATGAGGACCACTCTGACGGCGTGGTGGCCAACGCTGCTGGGCTCATCGGGTGAGGCGCTGTGAACCGTCGCTCACACTGGGTCTTTAAGCATTTAGTCATGAGCCATGAATCGTAGCACAGGTCTGTTGGTCTGTGAGGAGAAATCATGCACCACTCTGAGCCAGTGAAGTACAACCCAACCACAACTGCTGAGACCAACGCAGACGCACACTTTACCTGACAGCACTTAGATTATTGACACTGGTGTGCCAAGAGTTTGTTCCAGGTTGGCTGGTAATGCAGACGCACAGTGACAGTTTGAGCGCAAGCCTGGGCTTTGAAGGGACACAGACACATAGTTAATGTATGTGGCTTCAGGTAACAGATCCAACGTAGGTCAGTGCTGGGAGCCTCATCAGTTAGCACTGAGGTGTCACGCTGCTTCATGTAGGAACACAAAGCCGGGGGGGCGGCATCGGCATCGTTGGTTGAAGTTTAGCCAACAAATCTGGCTAAATCTGACAGAATCAAGCTGGGATATCTGGAGCTGTTTGAGGATTTTTGCTTCTTGGGCCATTTTGCTACGAACAAACTTTACCTAAAATAAAAACAGAAAAAAGGGAAATGCAGAAAGAAATTGGGTAAATGGGAGAAGAGAAGTTTGTGTGTTTTCTGCTTCAGGAGTTTGACTTTATATTTTAGGATATTACTATTTGTTTTCCTTCATCTTTGTGTTTAGGTTCCTGTTTTCTTGACTGTTCATCTACATTAAATTTGGTGTGTGTGTGTGTGTGTGTGTGTGTGTGTGTGTGGTCAGTGACCTGTGCACGGCGTTTGGTAAAGACGTAATGAAGCTGGTAGAGGTTCGCCCACTCATCAACGACCTGCTGACGGAGGGTCGGCGCTCCAAAACCACCAAGACCAAGACGCTGGCCACCTGGGCCACCAAGGAGCTGCGCAAGCTCAAGAGCCAGGCCTGGTCAGTTTATTAGGGACACCTGTGTCAAGCAGTCAGTTGAATCCAACAGTCCTGTAGTAAATCTTCCTTCACGAAGGCGATAATGTTCAGTCTGTTTCACGGAGCTGTTGGTTCAGCTGTGTGATCACTAGAGGCTGTTGTAGAGATGTCAATACATCAGTACTGGAATCAGATCCATATTAATGTGACGACAGATGCATTCAGACCTTTTGTTTTGAAGTTTTCTTTTATATCTCGAAGCATTCACTTTAGTGTCACTGGGCGTGTTCCTGTTGTCTGTGCTGATGACTCTGTTTCTTCTTCTACTTCTCTCAGATTGTACCTGGCTGGGAGAGAGAGAGAGCGAGAGCTGTGAGAGATCGACATCCGTGAACAATAAGGACAAACTGCCCACCGGATTTAACTCTTCTGTCTTTGTCGGGTCGAAGCAGAAGTTGGGATGAGTGTCTGTGTGAGAGAGAGAGAGAGAGAGACGTGTGTGAGAGCGAGAGATGACATCACACGCCGATGACATCCCCACCCCCACCCCCCAGACTGGACTGACTTCCCCCTCCTCCCACCTGTAAACAAAAACAAACAAGAACTCTGAGCCCTCCCTCCTCCTCCCACAATCCACCTCTCTCGCTGTAGCCGGGCTCTCCTATGACATCATGATGTCGTCACTGACCCACTGTTGCCCCCGCCACTGGAGGAGGGGAAACGGATATAAACACAGCGGGGAAAAGAAAGACTAGTGGAATCAGAGACAAAAACTCGGGCGGACTTTGTGAACTTCTGTGGAAAACTTTAGATTTTCTTGCTCTTATCTTTTTTCTTCTTCTTCCGAGCAGTAAAACACATCTGGTGGAGAACCACCTCCACCTGCTCAGTTGGCAGC